GCAAGGCCGTAGCCCTGACCGGTAGGCGCCTACAGCCGTCTAGTCAATTTCTAGGGCGCAGTAGTCATGTGTTCCGATTTGAAAGACAGTAGACGTAATAATACAATTAAAATTTAGATTTTAGATTTCGTAGAGAGAAACGGCGCTTACACTTTGGCGACATGATCTTCGGCAACAATGTAACACAGAGCGAGCTATAAGCTCGACTGTACGTACAACAAACAGCAATAAAAAAAACAGAATTATCATTTAATTAAAAGTTAAATTCATAATGAAATACGTCATTATTTACATGATTTTTAAAAAAAATTGTTAATATCCAGGTTCTTTATAAAATGATGTATTTTTTAATGAAATCGATTTGGATGTAATAATTTGTTTAATATTGAATTCACAAGCTTTCCACTAAACACAGACCGAATATTTCTTGAAATTTTAGCACGCAACGCTACTTGCGACTACTGACGTTCGCGCCGTGTAACTGCGGGAGGTGCCAAATCTTGATGTTTCATCTAAACAGCACTATTTACATGTCATATGATAAAACACTCATATGTGATGATAATGCAGTTTGTTTTATAAGATAATTTAAAAAGAAACATGCCTTAATTTGACATTATGTTACTGAACTAAAAATTCTTTGAAATATTTAGGAGTGTTTTATTCTGGTAAGTAGTATTTAATTTATATGGTTTATGTATGCATGTAGAGAGTATAAGAATTTGGCATATATTTTTTATGACAAACTCGGTCAGTTCATTTTTATCTTTCTACTGATTGCTATAATGAAGTACCTAAAGTACTTTGAAGCTATTTAAGAAGTATTACAAGATTATGACTACATACACGATTGACTATCTATACATGAACCGTTGCTGTACCATTTCCATAAAGGCTAAAGCAACACAGGTGTGTAAAAAAAATGAAAACATGAGACAAATGTTGGGATTATCACTTTAAAAATTTTTTGAATTATATATATAGCAGTATATGCCAATCCAGAAGAACTCCAGTAAACCAAAAAACACAAGTCACCAATACTAAGTCTTTGTCAAACTATTTTTATATTTGTCCATTTGAACATATCAGAATTAATGTATTCGATTCTGCTGAAATCTATATAAAAAACTGGCTTAAAACTGTTCGGGTTCCAACAATGACTTGAACCTAATAACGTAAAAACGGTAATTCAGAAACAAGCCTATTCTGTTTATAATAAGCTCAGATTTGGCAGGTTTATGTGAATTTGCAGGCTCACATATTAGAGTATATTAAAAATCCTTTTTAAAAAAAAAAGGACTTTTTGTGAGTCCGCGCGGGTGGGTAAAACCTATTTCTGCTGTGAAGCAGTAATGCGTTCCGGTTTGAAGGGTGGGGCAGCCGTTGTAACTATACTGAGACCTTAGAACTTATATCTCAAGGTGGGTGGCGCATTTACGTTGTGGATGTCTATGGGCTCCAGTAACCACTTAACACCAGGTGGGCTGTGAGCTCGTCCACCCATGTAATCAATAAAAAAAAAAAAAGTATTTGAGTGCTGGGACTAGAAATTGTAATAAAGGTCAATTTATGGACTGCCAAGTACTGTTGTACTGAATGATTACTTGACAAAAAGTTCCTTCATAATGTGGCATTGTATTAACAATAATAAGTGGCATTGTGTTACAAATTGTTATCTATTTTACTTGGTAAAAGAATGCAACTTTGCAAGTTCAGTTGTTTTTTTAATAAACATGTTTACAAATCCTTATTCAATGTTCCTGGATGTATATATTTTACTCAAAAATTTTTATGATATTAAGTTTAGATGATACAATTGTACTGAAATCATTCAAAATGAATTGGAATCTCAATTGGTGAATATTTAAAAAAAATGCATTTATTTTATTTTTTAATTTGCATTTATTTTATTTTATTTGTTGATGATTTCAAATTAGTAATTAATTATAACAGTACCTTAATAGTTTAAAATAACGTAATTGCCTTTATAGCTAATAAGTCCACAAAATAAACTTTATTTTTTGTTGCTTGCAAGAGCTCATTTCTAAAATAATGATAGAATATAAAATCATTCTTATGTTGCTTTTTTATGTATTCACTAGTAACGCTAATACTAAATTTAGTTTGGTGACTTTGTGTATTAGAATCATAGTTACTGATTTGTTAACCAAAAAATGTTTTTAGTGTTTACTAACAAATGGTTAAATGATATGTTATAGTTTGCACACAATGTTATCATCACATTTAATTGGGTTTTTAATATTAGAGAAAATGAGAATACATAGGCTCATTATAAATTAATATTATAAAATCAGCAATAAGTATTATAATGTCATTTCATTTGGTATAGATTGTTTCAAACATAACATACTTTAAAGTTCAGAATGATCACAAGTTTAAATATGGATTATACAAGATCAAAAATGAACATACATATTTTATATGAACAATTTTGTTAATATATATCTTGAAGGATTTGAATGTATTGTAAATATGAATATTTTATGTGAATATCAGGAAGAGCATGTTGCTACACATGATTTACGGCCCATTAATAGTTGGTTTAGTTTAACCTCGGTATTTTAAAAATAGCTACAAGAAATTATGACAGCAAAGTTATGGAAATATTCAAGATTATAAACATCTATTTTTTCTGTTGCTTGGAATTTATTTTATAAAGCATTTGCAGGAATTACTGATATATGAGTGAAAAACCTGATTTAGCAATGGGCACACTAAAAATAGGATAATATAAAAATAATCGAATTTCCACTGGCAATTAAATTTATAATTTACAATTAGAATATAAAGTAAATTTATATGTATTTGTTTTAATAAAACTATTGTATGAACTTTACCAACATCCAATACAAACGTAACAGGAATAATGTTGCACATTAATATAAACATTCTTACCTCGGCTTCAGGATCTCCGTTTCTAGCTTTTTCTACTTTAGTCTTCATCGCCTCCTGTGAATAGCAGCGTCCACTTTAACTTCGTAATAACACAAATTGTCCTTTAAGCACTTTACGATAAATTTCCACTAATTTATTCAGAACCGCATACCATCAAACAACTGACATGGCATTGTATTAAACGGCTAGAGTTTACGCCGACTTTGAATTGCTATCATAAATTGTTTTTAAACTTTATTATAGTCCCTAAACTTTGTATTTAAGGACTTCTCAGCCAAGTATAACTCACCTTTTCTTTTTTCGGCATACTAAAAATAAAAATAAATTAGTAAATAAAGCTAAAATTACAACTTTTTATCAACATTAACATCGCGTGGATAGTTTACATTTTAGTTGTCAAATACTTTATTCTGATTGGTTGAGCTAGTCACGTGATTTCATTGACGTTGCAAATAGGGTCGGACATAAAACAAAATGTCTTTCGTTGCTTTTCTCTTGTAGTCGATTTTTTTTCATCCAAAAACAGATTTCCGTTGCAGATAATTTTCGATATCTTTTAATTCAACATATTTGATTAGTAATAATAATAATATAACTCTTTATTTAACACCATATGTACAGAGTAAGCTAATAAAACAAATAAAAGTCGGTGATATAAATTGGCGGCCTTATCGCTGAAAGCGATCTCTTCCAGGCAACCTTGCAGGGAGAGGAATAAGTGAACTGGACGGTGCTATATCTTAATAAACTTACATAAAAATATATACTTATATACACATGTGAAAAATAAATACAATATATGATAGACTTACATACGATTAAATAGTATCATGATTACATGTCTGTTTTTCATCTTTCCAAATCAATCAAGATCTACTAATATGATACAATTAAAGGCATCTTATATTCATACTAAGCATACAAATTTAACATTTGTAATATGTTAAACCGTTTTCAGACGATGACGTTTTTGTTGGTCTACCATTATGTATCAGTTTTACTAGTAGCGTGTTTTCTTTTTACTGCAAATAAATAGTAAAAGTTAATCGTAAATTTATTTAATGTGTAGCTATTTTAATGGCCAAAATCGGTGAGTGAAATGAAATTTAGGTAGCGTATGAAATTCCGTTCTTTGAATTTTATTACAATAAAATACATCCAAACAAGCTCAAGCAACAAGCCAAACTAATCAAACCAAGTTAAAAACAATGTTATATAGTAATAGTATAATATATAATAGTACATAGCAGTTAGAGTAACAGATAATTTCTTCACATTCATTCATTTATTCCTTAATATTGTACCAACACCAAAGTTTCTAAACGGAAATGCCAATTGCCAACAGAAAAAAATAAAGTTAAGCTTAATTCAATCATAATTGGTTGAATAGTTGAATTTGGTTGTGAACATTTTTCTTGATTTTCTTTCTTCCTTTTTTTTGAGAGCTTTTTTTAATTTTGAAAGGAGTACTTTTGGAAGGGCCTCTATGAATACAACGTAACAGAGAACGTTTTATTAATCTATTCTCTACGGAAACGAATCTACCGCCAGTTGTAGCTTGGTTTTCTGGTTGCAATTAGGGGGCCCTACGGATATCGTAATCAATAGTTTAGAGATGCAAATTAGAATTACTGTATCAAAAAATCTTCATGGGATAATATTTTATTTCAACGTAGTTCGAATTTATTTCCCTTACCCAATTTCTGGTATCCAAAATTACGCGCGAACGTAGTAAGTAGTAAGATCATGCTCACTTGAATGATCGTGACGTCATGAATCACTGGCCATTATATATATGCATGTATTGTTATTTGAGAATAACATGCTCAACTAGTAGATCGTATTCGTTTTAAGCTTTTCAAAATTCCTAATATTTAAAATTCAATTTCTCGATAATTAGGATAAGTCAAGCTGTAATCAACGATCGAAATGGTAAGAAAAAAAAAACGAGATTTAAGGAAGTGGAATTATAATTAAAAATTACATTTAATATGTAAGAAAAACATAAGAGAATTAAGTAAAATTGTAACAATAGTAATGTTTTTACAATGCATACGTAAGAAAACGTTATAAATGGATGAATTTTATTTCTTCTTGCGTCCCCTCCTCTTTCTGCCTACTCTGTAAGGGCCTAAACGGCGTCTTACAAGCAAGCCACGCCACCACGCTTGTACAATTATAGCAGACTTTGTCATGTTCTCGCGGTAAATACGAGCCTTTTCGCGTTCTTCTTTGAAATGAATCCATTGTTTCATTAGTAGATCATGTTTTTCAATCTATAAAAACAATTAATTCTTAAGGGATCAAATATTCACATAATATCACAACATGAATGGTCGAAGTCTCAGTGGCATTTAAATAAAGATTAAAATACCATTTTTTTAAAAACGAGTTATTGGTTTTTTTCTATGATTGAAGGATTACTGGTGGCCCAGGGTCCTTTTCAGTTTCAACAGGTCAGGTGGGCTAGCAAAGGCTCAGCTAGCAAGGGTGGGGTTAGTTAACAGCTGCCCGAGATCCACCGAAGGAGACCTAACAACTCAAGAGCAGCTACTTCGGGAATGAATCTACTTACTAGCGGATCAGTATCGCGACCCGCTGAGAAGAATCGGCGAGGAGCTCAGCGGGCTGATGCATTGGTTAGGTTGCACGTCGAACTCTTTGCCGGGTTCGACCAGTACGGTTGCGTGATTGGTTTGTGTTTGAACCAAACAGGCGTTAGGACCACAGAGTACAGTAACATGACAAGACGGTAATGATCCGTACGGATTCATAACGAGCCTTATTACAAATATTTAAGATCTAAATTAGGGCACCACGTGTCGTTTTAATAATGTTTGAGCCGACCATTATCTTACTAGAACCATTAGCCTAAAACAAAACTAGTTCAAACTTAGTCTTGTACAAAGGATAAAACCCACCGTATTTTCGAAATTAATTCGTTTGTCACGCATATCCTGGTAGTGATTCTTTTTCCTCTGCATGTCTATGTCGATGCCTTCCATGTCTCGATCGTACTTACTCATCCATTTTTCAATTTTTTCCAAAGTTTCCTGGGAATTCGTTTTAAAATGGTAAATTAAACTTACATGACTGCAGCCCGTTCTGTTAACAAGTTTGCAAGATGCATATTTTACCGTTAAGTCATAGTTTGCAGTGGTGCTACTTGTGGTAGGACCTCATGTGAGTCCGCGCGGGTAGGTACCACCACCCTGCCTATTTCTGCCGTGACGCAGTAATGCGTTTCGGTTTGAAGGGCGGGGCAGCCGTTGTGACTATACTGAGACCTTAGAACTGATATCTCAAGGTGGGTAGCGCATTTACGTCGTAGATGTCTATGGGTTCCAGTAACCACTTAACACCAGGTGGGATGTAGCTCGTCCCCTCATCTAAGCAATAAAAAAAAAGTATGATACTGATACTATTGTTCCTTTCTATTAGTTGCTGATGTTCATGAGCGACGGTGAGCACACGCAATCAGTCTCAGCATCAGTCCCATGCTCATCTGTTCGCCTGAAGCGTTTGGCTGCAAACATTTTCTTACATTTATGGTTATATTGGTTAATAGTTCAACTTCAGAATGTATTCTTTGCTCGTGTTCGATCTTGAGCTTGTATTGTTCGATTGTTTCAATACAAGAATTTTCCGCTTCATTAATAACCTCTAGGTGTTGTTCGGTTCTAGCGACTTGCCAATTATCCACGTAACGGCTTGAGCATTCCGAATCCAGTACAGAATCCTACAAGAATTAATCTATATATCTATATATATAAAAATGAATTGCTGTTCGTTAGGTCTCGCTAAAACTCGAGAACGGCTGGACCGATTTGGCTAATTTTGGTCTTGAATTATTCGTGGAAGTCCAGAGAAGGTTTAAAAGTTAGATAAATATGAAAATGCTCGGAATCATATTATTATGAAAACAAATAATTTTGGTTTTTCCTTTGATGTCCCCCCCCCGTCGGACGGATTCCTTTTGATTGTTTTAAGTTTATTTTATACAAAAGTTTAGGTCTTTTATTTATCGATTGAGGCACTACAAAGTCTGCCGGGTCAGCTAGTATCTTATAAATTCTTTATCGTTTCATCATAAAATATTATAATATCGAGGGGTATATCTTAGTTTAAGCGACATTTTTGCAATTTTACAAGAGAAGCATTTAAAGTTTAAAAATCGAAAAAAGTATCACAACAAAAAACTTGTTCAGCTATTTGAATGGGGTAAACTTAATTCAATTTCAATTAAAAATATCGAAGTGCTGATACTAATTACCAAATAAAACAAACCTTTAATTACAAAGATAAATGACGTGTATTTAGCGAAATGTCGCTTAAACTAAATATCCACGCCTCAACGTATTAGTTATATATGTTAATATCATCATAAATAGCAACAGTTTGTTGAAAATAAACATTGGTATTCTTTAAAATAATAATTACATATATTTTTGTCAATTTTTTTTTTTGTAAACATAGCCTATACCTAACGTGACCATACGTCCCGCTTTGGGCGGGATTGTCCCGGTTTCAGGCTGTCCGTCCCGCTGTCCCCAACGAGAACAAAAATGTCCCGCTTTCATTTATATGTTGTGCATGTGTGTGTTTATTAGAAGCTTACCGAATACTTACTTATCTCAAATCCAAATCCAAATTGTATTACAAAATACATACTAAAGTAACTCTAATTTTGCTGTAGAAAAGTAGTTTTTTGAATATTATTTTAAGGGCAATTTGGTGTAAGAATTAAGATGTCAGTGAGAGTAAGATACAATAATAAATTATTTCAAGTCATATTTTAAACCATATTTTTTAATTTGCTCTTAAATATTACATCTTACCCCGACGTATCCTATATACCTATGTATTTATTTATATACGAAATTTCCTAGGCATCCCGCTTTGACACGAAAAAAAATGGTCACGTTACCTATACCCATACTTATTCGTTTAAACAGAGCATGCTAGAGTGTGATATTTATTATTCATAATTATTTTATCTGTATGTAAATACAATAAAAGATACGTTGTTAAATCTAAGCGCTCTGGCTGTTTAACGTCAGCTAGACCTTGAAACTTGCTAACCCATTTATGCAATAAAAGAAAAAAAAACGATATCTTAAAGTGTCAAGTGATGATGATCAAATTTCCATCAATAGGCGAAAATTGGTACGTGCATTTATAAAGTAAACAAATTTATGTTTAATGTGTGCAGAAAATAAATATATTTCATCATTCGAGTATAGCTTTTCATATGGAACTAAAGGACCGAAAGTGGATAAATAGCTCAAGAGCTAGCAAAAATTTTGCAGTCTGGCCGAAAGTTTGGGAGGCGACATATTAATTTTAAAATTTTCCAATAATCTTCTTGAATGCACAATTCCTTTTTTTTATTGCTTAGATGGGTGGACGAGCTCACAGCCCATCTGGTGTTAAGTGGTTACTGGAGCCCATAAACATCTTTATTTTAAATGCGCCACCAACCTTGAGATATAAGTTCTAAGGTCTCAAGCATAGTTACAACGGCTGCCCCACTCTTCAAACCGAAACGCATTAATGCTTCACGACAGAAATAGGCAGTGCGGTGGTACCTACACGCGCGGACTCACAAGAGGTCCTACCACCAGTAATTACGCAAATTATAATTTTTGCGGGTTCGATTTTTATAACACGATGTTATTTCTTCACCGTGGGATTCGAACACCGGTACATCGCTCAACACGAATGCACCGGATGTGTTATCCTTTAGGCCACAACGACTTCTAAAACAAATTTCTAGTTATCAAAAGTATCGATAATTTATGTCTCTTACTTCAACCTGACTTTTCAAACTATCAATAGTAACTTCATTGTCGTACAAAACCGTTTTGATGTGATTACGCAGCTGCCTTATTTGTTTAGTGAGTTCACGTCTCTCACTGAAAAAGGGCAATTTTTAAACTAACTTTGTTACGGTTTTAATTAGATTTGCTTATCGTAGATAAGAATCAATCAAGCGCATGGAACAGCCGCGATACTATAAAATTTAGACTTCAATCTATGTCTCAAGTTACGTAGTGGAAATGTATCGATATCTATGGGCTCCGTAACAAACACCAGGCGAGTCGGACCCCTGTCACACGCAATAAAAATAATAGTTTCACAATCCTATTTACTCTCCTCGTAATCCTAATCCTAATTACTCCTATTCAGCATTTTCACTGTAATTTTAACAGTTTAATGAACCAATACCACTTATCTAACACCTGGGATCTTCTTATCGTGAACATGAAAACACAAGTCAAACAAACTGCCAGACCTCAAGATAGGTATTAATTCGTTTTGTGTGAAATTGTGAACACAAAACTGTACAGTGGTCGAACTGTGTCGGAATTAATATAAAGACAATAAAAGACGCAAGATCAAACCGTAAAATTAATTTTAGTTATGTCTACGACTCGCGGAACCCCAAAAAAATAGTTTAATGAACCGATTTAATTAATTAAGTATCTCACAGTTTGTTCTTCGCTTCATTCTCGGCTAAAGCAATCCGATAGTGTTCTTTGTCGAAAATGCTGTTTAAAAACGATGTTAACGTCTTGTAATTTTTGTTAAGCGTCATCTCCACATACAAATCGGTAATGGCGTTAATGATATTTCTCCTGAAAGATATTTATTTTATTATAATACAATGAATACAAAAAAAGCACACCATTCATCGATCATTGGTATTACGCCAGAAATGCCTCGATCAACTAGTGTTGAAAAAAAAAGTATTACTTTAGTAATTAATTTTTTTATTGTTCATTATTTATGTTCGTGTAATGCACATTTAAAAAAAAGGGTTCGCGGAAGACGTAGGTCGGGTCACGTAGCCTATCTACATGTACGGTCTTGCAACAGATCGTACCACCAGTAGTTTGCCCACTGAGTTTCTCGCCGGATCTTCTCAGTGAAGAACATAGAATACCTACTTGAGCAAATAGGAAAAAGCGACGTTATTAATTGAATATGCAATTTCGAAAAGGGCACATCTCTGAAAATGTAAAATGTTCAGGAAATGAAAAAAAAACGATTATTTTCTAAAGCAGTGTAAAATTTAAAATATTAACTTTTGAGATATATTTTAGTGTAAGCAATTGAAAATTACTGGGATTATTATAAAATAGGTGTAGGTAAGCCTAAAAAACTACATGTAGGTATATATGAAAAAACGTATTTTACAAAATATGTGACATGTGCCCTTTTCGAAATTGCATATTCAATTACAATGTATGTACAAACGTGTAGTCCCGAAAGAGAGTATAACAAATTTTACCTGTCAGAATCAAGCTTATATATTTTGTAATTTTCGCATTCCAAATTCTTTGGATCAATATTTTCTAGTTCATCTGCAGTTTTGGGCTGCGCTATTCCAAACTTCAGGGCTCGAAGCAGTTTGATATCAGCCAGCGTTTTTATTATACGTAATTCACTGTTGCATTCGTCTAAATAAACCAAATTATAGATTTGATTGGTGTAAAATTAATAAATTTTATACGTGCTCCCAAATGCAACGTGCTTTATATGGGCTCCCAAATACCAGCTTCTTCCATTTGACTCCATACAGAGGAGGGCCGTTCGGATTGTCGATAATCCCATTCTCACGGATCGTTTGGAACCTCTGGGTCTGCGGAGGGACTTCGGTTCCCTCTGTATTTTGTACCGTATGTTCCATGGGGAGTGCTCTGAGGAATTGTTCGAGATGATACCGTCATCTCGTTTTTACCTTCGCACCGCCCGCCACCGGAGTAGAGTTCATCCATACTACCTGGAGCCACTGCGGTCATCGACAGTGCGTTTCCAGAAATCTTTTTTGCCACGTACCATCCGGCTATGGAATGAGCTCCCCTCCACGGTGTTTCCCGAGCGCTATGACATGTCCTTCTTCAAACGAGGCTTGTGGAGAGTATTAAGCGGTAGGCAGCGGCTTGGCTCTGCCCCTGGCATTGCTGAAGTCCATGGGTTACGGTAACCACTCACCATCAGGTGGGCCGTATGCTCGTCTGCCTGCAAGGGCAATAAAAAAAAAACGTAATTAAAGGGAAAACATACCAAGTATTCGAATTTGAATAATAGTGTCTTCCAATATAGTCGCAAACAGAGATGAAGACATGTATGATAAGCTGAAACACAAGATTTAATAAATTAACGCCGTACCTAATGTAGTATAGTCTATGTTCCAAAGTTCAACGACCGCTTAGGTAACCAAGACAAGTCTAAAAAAACTTTTTTTGTAACCTTGGTTGTGTATACTCTTCAACAGGCATTGTATCTTCTTCAGTTACTGTTGTTGTCTCTGGTATCATTTGCAGTAATTGCGACAAAGACCTCTTATACAAGGAGCTTAGTTCCTGAGAAACAGTTACAGAATTGGTATTTTCAAATGGCGTGGCTAAGAATACTATATTCCTGTGGAGACATCTGCGGCGTGATATTGTATGGTTTTATATACCACGACACGGAATTTAAAAAAGTGCTGATATTTAGCAAATACATACTTATACATTTACGAGAGCCTGCTATTCGTGTGCAAACGTTTAAGTCACTTTTCAATTGAATATGAGCGATGGATTAGAACAAATTTAAAATGGGCATGTGGCGGTTCCATTTATTTATTTTTATTGTCGTATAGGCAGATTGGTGGTAGGACCTCGAGTCAGTCCACGCGGGTAGGAACCACCGCCCTGCCTATTTCTGCCGTAAAGCAGTAATGCGTTTCGGTTTGAAGGGTGGGGCAGCCGTTGTAACTATACTTGAGACCTTAGAACTTATGTCTCAATGTGGGTGGCGCATTTACGTCGTAGATGTCTATGGGCTCCAGTAACCACTTCACACCAGGTGGGCTGTGAGCTCGTCCACCCATCTAAGCAATAAATAATAATAAAAAAGACGGCCATACGATGACCATATGGTTACCGTCGCTCATGGGCGTCAGCAATACCAAAGGCAGAACAAGCCGCTGCCTACCATTTAATACTCTCCACAGGCCTCGTTTGAAGAAGGACATGTCATAGCGCTCGGGAAACGCCGTGGAGGGGGGCTCATTTCAAAGCCGGATGGTACGTGGCAAAAAAGACCTCTAATGGATCTCTAGTGGAAACGCACTGGGGATGAATGCAATAGCTCCAGGTAAATTAGTTCACTGTAAAAAATAAAACCGAGCATATCGTATTTTCTGCCGGCTTTTGACTAGTTTTACGGGTTAATCTCGCGTTTTTTATTGTCATTATCATTATATTATTTCAGACTGTACTTTACGGTATTCACCGTCATGGACGACTTACTCGTTAAATAATCTTAATTAAGTATATCGTAACTATTATGTTTCTGAGTTGGTATTCCGAATTTACGACGGTAGGTTGGAGGTTACTCGAGCGCAATGAAAAGAGTGTTGAACTTAGATCAGCCGGCAGTGAGATTATACTTTCTGAATCGACTAGGTCTTACTAGTACTTAGAACACCCGTAATTTCTAAGCAATATTAATAGATAAGTATAGCATATTTCATATCTGCTATTTTCTTCAAACACTCCAGTCGGTAACTACAGTGCAGACGTTTGTTTGGTCACCAAACTGATTTTATTTGATCGCTTGACGACTTTCCACCAGCTTTAGTGTGATATTCTAAATTTTCTCTGTACAAGAAGCAATTGTTGCAACGCCTAGAAACGTGGATAAATATAATAAATCAAAATAGCTGAATTAAAGATAAATTTAACCTGTTTCTGTGACATTCTCGAACTGTCCGTATAGATTGTGGCGTGGCCCCATTGTTCGCTTACTAGATTTTTAACACGCATCGCCGTCATTTTATATTACTACTAAAGAATACTGCTTATAAAATAATATATCTCCAATTAAATTTAATGCCCCATTGCAATAAATTCTCGATTACAAATGGTGGCAAACCAAAAAAAATTCTGTTAATGCGATTCTTTTTGACGCTGACGCAGTCAATAGTTTCATTTTCATATCTATTATAGACCTTTATAATAGGTTTCATACTTATGTATACTCTAAGGTTTCATACTTCAGTGATATTTATTGATTTGTTGATTGCTTCCCGCTTCCGTAGGTTTAACCCGCGATTCCCTACAAGTGACCCCTGGGTGGTGCAAAACGGGAGCCGAATACATAATCGGTGGTAGGACTTGTCCGACTGGCTGGCGACCACCCTCCAACTAGAGTCCGCCGCCAAATAGCCTAGCTGTGTTCCGGCGTGTGGGTTGGAGAGCCAGTTTTATTCCTTCCCTTTCCTCTTCCTTGTTGGGGGTGAATCTTGGCGATACCTGGAACATGCGGAGCAGACGTGCGTGTGAGCTCGCGGGACGTGATTGTTTGACGGGGGTATAGGGAGACCCAGTGAAACGGTGTTCGCCGCCGCCCGCCGGTCAGTTGGGGACCTGAACCCGGGTGTCACTACTAAACTCCGCCCCGGGAAGCTGTCCCGCCAACCGGTGTAAAATCCTGTCGTGCGGTCGTCGTGCCGGAGTCGGAGACCGGAGTGGATCCCGGCGATCGCACGCAGGGTGGACTGGGGGCCCTTCCATGCCCTGCGTCAGTCGCTCACGCAACCCGTGGTCGAGCACGTACTGTGCTCCGCGCTTTATTCAGGTATTGTCACGATTTCGCCTCGAACATCCTACCCCGCCCAATCCCACTCTCCAAATAAAAAAAATGAAAGTTCGAAAAAGGAAAAGGGTTTTGTCGGCGACTCCCCATTCCACATTTAATGTGGATTTCAGCAATGTAAGGGGTCTACATAGTAACCTCGACGCCGTACACCACCATCTTGAGACGGCGCAGCCTGCCCTTCTTTTTCTGACGGAGACGCAGATATCTGCTCCGGATGATACTTCGTACCTTGAATACCCCGGCTACGTATTGGAGCACAACTTCCTGCGTAAAGCCGGGGTGTGTGTATTCGTCCGGGCTGATGTCTGTTGTCGCCGTCTACGAAGCCTCGAACAACGGGACCTGTCCCTCTTGTGGCTGCGCGTAGATCACGGGGGCTGTACCCGAGTCTACGCGTGCCTGTACAGGTCCCACAGCAGTGATGCAGGTTCAGCTCTGATAGAGCATGTGCAAGAGGGGACTAACCGCGTGCTTGAGCAGTACCCATCTGCGGAGGTGGTGGTTCTTGGAGACTTTAACGCTCATCACCAAGAGTGGTTGGGGTCCAGAACCACTGACCTCCCGGGTCGGGCTGCCTACGATTTCGCCTTGGCCTACGGCCTCTCCCAGCTGGTGACACAGCCCACCCGTGTCCCAGATATTGAGGGGCACGAGCCTTCTCTGTTGGACCTTCTGCTGACCACCGATCCAGCCGGATACAGTGTGGTGGTCGACGCTCCACTTGGATCGTCTGATCACTGCCTTATCCGTGCTGCCACACCACTCTCTCGTCCTAGTCGTCGAACGACGACCAGGTATCGAAGAGTTTGGCAGTATTTGTCAGCAGATTGGGATGGATTGCGTGAGTTTTACGCATCCTACCCATGGGGGCGGTTCTGCTTTTCCTCTGCTGATCCTGACGTCTGTGCGGACCGTCTTAAAGACGTGGTGCTCCAGGGGATGGAATTGTTTATTCCCTCCTCTGAAGTGCCCGTTGGGGGTCGCAGCAGACCCTGGTATAACAATGCCAGCAGGGATGCTGCACACCTCAAGCGGTCCGCATACGTGGCATGGGATAATGCCAGGAGACGTCGGGATCCTAACATCTCAGGGGAAAGGCGGAAATATAACGCCGCTTCCAGGTCCTACAAGAAGGTAATTGCCAAGGCGAAGTCGGAGCACGTTGCTAGAGTTGGCGAGCGATTGAAGAGCTATCCCTCCGGGAGCCGTGCTTTTTGGTCGCTCGCCAAAGCTGCAGAAGGAAACTTTTGCAGGTCTAGTCTCCCACCACTGCGCAAGTCCGATGACAATCTGGCCCACAGCGCGAAAGAGAAGGCTGACCTTCTGGTCAAACTCTTCGCCTCGAACTCGACTGTGGACGACGGGGGTGCCACACCACCGAACATCCCCCGGTGTGATAGCTCCCTGCCGGATATCTGCTTCACACAGTGTGCAGTCAGGCGGGAGCTCCGACTCCTGGACGTCCATAAGTCGAGTGGGCCAGACGGCATCCCCGCAGTGGTTTTGAAAACGTGCGCCCCTGAGCTGACACCTGCGCTAACGCGTTTGTATCGCCTCTCTTATTGCACTAACAGGGTTCCGTCTTCATGGAAGACCGCCCACGTCCACCCTATCCCCAAGAAGGGTGACCGGTCGGACCCATCGAGCTACAGGCCTATCGCGATAACTTCCTTGCTTTCCAAGGTGATGGAGCGAATTATAAATACACAACTCCTGAAGTATCTTGAAGATCGCCAGCTGATCAGTGACCGACAGTACGGTTTCCGTCACGGTCGCTCAGCTGGCGATCTTCTTGTATACCTTACTCACAGGTGGGCTGAAGCCTTGGAGAGCAAGGGCGAGGCTCTTGCTGTGAGCCTTGATATCGCGAAGGCCTTCGACAGGGTCTGGCATAGGGCACTTCTATCGAAGTTACCATCTTACGGAATCCCCGAGGGTCTCTGCAAGTGGATCGCTAGCTTTTTGGATGGGCGGAGCATCACGGTCGTTGTAGACGGTGACTGTTCTGATACCATGACCATTAACGCTGGCGTTCCACAAGGTTCGGTGCTCTCCCCCACGCTTTTCATCCTGTATATCAATGACATGCTGTCTATTGATGGCATGCATTGCTATGCGGATGACAGCACGGGGGATGCGCGATATATCGGCCATCAGAGTCTCTCTCGGAGCGTGGTGCAAGAGAGACGATCAAAACTTGTGTCTGAAGTGGAGAACTCTCTGGGGCGAGTCTCCAAATGGGGTGAATTGAACTTGGTTCAATTCAACCCGTTAAAGACACAAGTTTGCGCGTTCACTGCGAAGAAGGACCCCTTTGTCATGGCGCCGCAATTCCAAGGAGTATCCCTGCAACCTTCCGAGAGTATTGGGATACTTGGGGTCGACATTTCGAGCGATGTCCAGTTTCGGAGTCATTTGGAAGGCAAAGCCAAGTTGGCGTCCAAAATGCTGGGAGTCCTCAACAGAGCGAAGCGGTACTTCACGCCTGGACAAAGGCTTTTGCTTTATAAAGCACAAGTCCGGCCTCGCGTGGAGTACTGCTCCCATCTCTGGGCCGGGGCTCCCAAATACCAGCTTCTTCCATTTGACTCCATACAGAGGAGGGCCGTTCGGATTGTCGATAATCCCATTCTCACGGATCGTTTGGAGCCTCTGGGTCTGCGGAGGGACTTCGGTTCCCTCTGTATTTTGTACCGTATGTTCCATGGGGAGTGCTCTGAGGAATTGTTCGAGATGATACCGGCATCTCGTTTTTACCATCGCACCGCCCGCCACCGGAGTAGAGTTCATCCATACTACCTGGAGCCACTGCGGTCATCCACAGTGCGTTTCCAGAGGTCTTTTTTGCCACGTACCATCCGGCTATGGAATGAGCTCCCCTCCACGGTGTTTCCCGAGCGCTATGACATGTCCTTCTTCAAACGAGGCTTGTGGAGAGTATTAAGCGGTAGGCAGCGGCTTGGCTCTGCCCCTGGCATTGCTGAAGTCCATGGGCGACGGTAACCACTCACCATCAGGTGGGCCGTATGCTCGTCTGCCTACAAGGGCAATAAAAAAAAAAAAAAAAAAAAAAATTTACATATTTATTTTAATTTGAGCGCTTAAGACGTTTATGTAGTACACATATTAATGAATTTCTTAGTATTTTTGTTAGAATTCATGTAAAATAAATTGAAGATGGAATATAGCTAATTGAGTGTCACAAATGAAACAAAACAAATGAAAAACAAAAACAAAACGAAGTCGGTTATCAGCCTGGGCACGCTCTTTAGTTTTGTATCTATTTGATTGGATCATCTCCTTTTACCATCACGTTACTCACTCTGGAAGCGCAGTTCATAGCTATTTTGAAACGCTGCAATAATCAGTGGCAGATTTATCCTAAGGCTCGGTAGGCCCGGGCATAAGGCGGCCAGATTTAGGGGTGGCCCCAATCGTGTCAAAAAAAATATTATAACGTATGGCGGCCGGACTGCACTGCATGGTGCAATCTATACCGCATAAAACTTTTTTTTTTTAATTTCGAAATCTATTTAGATAAAAGTTGGCAATAAAGTAATTTTATTATATAATCTATTTGGAGGATGCTGAGAAAGGGGCGGCTGATGGCTTGGGGTCTAGGACGGCCGAGACTGCAAATCCGCCACTGGCATTAATGAATATATATTTATAGAAATCGATCTCATCTTTCTATGTGACCTCAATCGACCTCATCTTTCTGTTCATCAATAGAATATCTGAAATTTGTATGGTAACCATACTTGAACGTACTGTCTTACCTGTCTGATAGGTCAAACAGCAAATAAAAACCGAATTAAACAAAATTAGAATACTTTTATTAAACAACAAAAACAAAATAGAAACAGAACATTAAAAAGTAACAAAAAATAACAAAAACTAAAAACAACATAATTAGCAAGTATGGGCAATGAAATTAAACATTACCAACAAAATGTATATAAAAATAAATTAAATTATACAAAATAAAGTGTCAGAACGTTGTGCGTACTTAAATACAGGTTATAAAAATATTGAACAAATAAAAAAATAAAGTTATTTTTTTTATTAATCACTTCAAAAATAAATTATTTTACTTTCGGTTGAATGTTTGTTCTATTTGGTCTTTTTTTTCTTCTCAGCGGGTTTGACCGGTTTATTGACCGGTTTGTATGGCCCAAGCTCGAGCCTGACCAGCAGACCTCTCCACCAGGACTGCACTGTAACCGCGGCGTTGTTCATTTTCTCCTCGAATAAGCGGGCCTCTTCTCGGTCATCTTTGAACTTCTGCCAATTCTGCATCAGCTTCTGATGTTTCTCCAGCTGGAATACAATTAGAAAACGAAATGAATCTTTCGTATATGTGCCCCACGGATTCATTTTTGTAGAGTATACATTATTGTACATTATGTGAACCCAGTGAGTTTCTCGCCGTAACCTTAACTAGTAGGTGAGCTCACGGGACTCAAACCTACGACGTTGCTAACACGAACCCTAGCAAGAGCCGTGCTTCGCAGAATCTACCACCGAATCGGAAACGCGACCCACTGAGAAGATCCGGCGAGAAATTCAGTGGGCTGTGTCTGAACGTTAATTTACTCGTCGAGCCCTTCGTCGCAAGCGACGGGTTAGACGAGAACGATGACCAGATCAGGTTAAGCTCACCTACCAGTCACAGCGTAGCTGGAATAGCCCCTTAAGCTATCAGCGAATAGGTAAGGATTCTTTTGTATGCATTATAATAAATTGGTTATTATTATCAAAACAAAAGCAAAATATTAAAAACAAGGACAGTATTATCGCTAAAATCGATCTCTCCCAAACAACGGTCAGATGGAATCATCATGAAGAATCATATTATAAGGAAAGAAATAATTACCTATGTAATTAAAAAAATCATCTGGTGTCCGCTAAAATCACTTGAAATTTAAAAGTATAAAATTGCAATAAACACTACCGTTTCCTCAAGCTCCACTCTCTTATCAAATATCTTTTGATGCTCATTCTGCTTGTGCTGTATCTTCAGTTCTATCTTTTCCATATCTGCGTCGTATTTGTTCATCCACGATTCAACTTTCGCGAGAATTTCCTTAATAAAAAAATGTTACAGATCATTGCATATTTTGTATCAATTGTTGATTGTTCAAGGTCCGCATTTTCGGCTAATTTTAATTGTTAGCATATAGCTCTTTATTTATTTTCATATTTTTGTATTGTTTTAGCCATTTTTAAGGTGGCAACCAGAGTTTAACTAATATACATATACATATTAAGATCGAACAACGGGACTAGCATTTAGAAATTTACTTAGGAACTTAGGGATTGTTTTTTCTTGTTGTTTGGAACGTTAACTTAGTTATCTATAAATACAACTTTTTTTTAAACTTTCCATATTCGACTTCTCTCTTTAATATTTTTGGTTTGAAGAATGAACACCTCTCCACGGTATTTCCTGAGCGCCATGACATGTTCCACTTCAAACGAGTTTCTAGGACAGTCTTCAACAGTAAGGCAAAGGTCCATGGGCGATGGTGACCATTGGCCATCCGTGTACCTACAACTATTATAAAAAAAATGCTTAAAATTCTCGGCCATGCAAATGATAAATTGTAAAATTGAAAACCTTAATATATCTATAATGATCTAACGATAAAATAACGCTCACTCCGATCTTTATATTTAGGAGCAGTTCAATTTCGTGGTGGACTCTTTGCTCACTGTCCATTCTGTGTTTATAGTACTCTATGGAATTCGTCGGGGACGCTTCTACGTCGTTTATCATCTGTACATGCTGTTCGGTGCGCGCCCGCTGCCAACCGTCCATGTAGCGGCTTCGAGCTTCGGCATTTATAGCTGAATCCTTAGAAATATTAAGTTTATCATCGTTAAAAAAAAATCATAATCACGAATGTTTATTATTCTCGCTATGAGATAAAACTGCATTCGGTACGATCCAACGTTGATTTAACAATAGGTTTAATATGCAATGTCACATGTCGAATTTTAAAAGTAAGAATACACCTTAAATTGGGTGGTGCTTTGAAAACTTGTGCAACAACGGATCTGGAAGCTTATGAACTAAACTTGATATCGAGAAGAAGCGAAGTATTTCATTATTTCTCTAATTCGAATTTATTGCGTATAAAATCGCGCGGGCAAGTCTAGTTTTTTATTTTGTCTAGTCATTTGTAAAAATCAATTAATGTCAATACTAACTTCAACTTGAGATTTCAGATGCTCAATAACAACGTTAGTATCGTACGTAACGGATTTTATGTGATTGCGTTGCTGTCTGTACTGCTTCATTAGTTCGCGAAGATTACTGGAAGTGAAAACTAGCTTATAAAATTTTTTTTATTGCTTAGATAGTTGGACGAGCCCACCTGGTTTTAAGTGGTTACCCGAGCCCATAGACATCTACAATGTAAATGCTGCCACCCACCTCGAGACAAGAGTTGTAAGGTCTGTTTTTACAGTACAACCGTTCAACCGCGAAGAAATAGGCAGAGTAGCGGCACGTACTCGCTACCAAAAATCGACTTCGCCGAACTCGTCGCTTGCGACAAAGGGCTCGACGAGTAAATCGACCCATAAATACAGCCCACTGAGTTTCTCGCCGGATCTTCTCAGTGGGTCGCGTTTCCGATCCGGTGGTAGATTCTGCGAAGCACTTCTCTTGCTAGGGCCAGTGTTAGCAACACTCCGGTTTGAGCCCCGAGAGCTAGCCTACACGCTAAGGTAACGCTGATATAGCCTCTCAAGCCTATAGCTGCTTTCAGACTACGCTATACTATAGAGCCATATAGCAGCCTATACTTAGCCAATAATATATAGTACAGTACAGTGTAAACGTGTCCATAGCGATGTATGGTGTGCGATATTGTTGTGCTATGAGCTATATGCTATTATATTATAGCGTAGTCTGAAAGCGGCATATCAGCTTAAGTAGTAAAAAAAGACATACTAGCAAAAGGGCTTATAAGGCTCACTAAAACGTGAATGTAACTCGACGGTCGGCGACGGTCGGGTAGGCAAATTCGTTGAATAACTATCCTAAAAGCAATTCATGTCTGGAATTTTCGGTAAAGCCTTTTTTCGTTTTCGGGAGGAGTTAAAGGAAATAAAATAAAAAAGACGAGGAAAAACTTCAATAAATTGTTGGCTAACTTTCGATTTTTTGCTTCCTCTTCTATAAGGTTCAACCGATTTCGCTCAATTGATGCATGATCGTTGTTTCTATCAGCCAACGCTTTCCAATTTTCTAGAAGGGACAACCCTAAATATGTGGCTATGAGTATGTCAGAAAACAATAATCTGAAAACGAAAGACGATAATATCATTTTAAACAATATAAGTACGTATATTTATTGTCATTATATTATTTCCGATGTTTCGAATAGTTTACAGTTGCCGTGGTCGTTACCATGACAATAAAAAAAACCTTGTAATGAGTGACGGTTTACCGTAAACACGATATATTTATTTTTATTATTTTTATTTACTAAACTCGATATTTAAATTAATATAACATAACGCTAGTTGGGATCAAAATGTACTTCAACTTTACAATTTCGATATAATAATTTGAGATGTTTTCTCAAATAACATTAAGAATATATGACAATGGCACAACAAATGTAGGTAACAATAACAATCGCACAGCTGACAGATGCATGCATGCTTGAAGCATTGTTTCGAAGTGTGAATGAAGTTCGAAGTTAGAAAAACGGCTATCCCGGCATTCCGACACAAAAAGTGCACGTCTCAAGTCATGCGTATTTTATTAGTGTATACCTGTTACCCGCGGCTCCACTTGTGTGGTCAAGGAAAACTGTCAATTTTTCTAAAGTCAATAAAACAATTTCACATGAAAACGGTTTTTTTTGGGTGAAATAAATTTAGGATATGTCAGTGGAATCGATTAAAATTATCACCTTAAATAGAATTACGGTAATTATTTGAACCTTTTCGACGTGAAAGAAGGACAAGCAAACAAACACACACACTTTCACATTTATAATATTAATAGTCTGCATTCGATAGACAAAACGAACTAAAGTACAACGTGTAAGTAGGTTATATATGATTGAGGTTATTCCCCATTAAAGTACCTATCGTTATTCAGTTTGTTAAGTTTATAGCTGGTACATTTAAGATTATTCGCGTCGATACTGTCGAGTTCGTCGGCAAACGCTGGCTGCTCTACACTGTACTTCTTGGCTAGAAGAATTGGCATATCGCTAAGGGTCTTTTGTATGCGCATTTCACTATTGCTTTCGGCTGAAAAGTAAATTTATAATCATTAAAAAAAAAAAACTTTTTTTTTGTGTCTTTTGTAGGTAACGGAATCTTTGAGCGTCATTTTCAACGACTTCAAGGAAACGGTATTGTTACATGACAAATAAAAAAAAAACATAACATATTATGAAAGGTATATTTATTTACCTAAGATTCGGTATGCGATTATAGCATCTTCAATGGCGGTAGCAAATAACTCTGAATAAAGATATTTTAAGCTGAAACAAAGGTAATAGTTTTATTTTATTTTCCATTTCTTTCCATTTATTTTACATTAATTATTCTAAAACATGTGTTTTATTTCAATTAGGCAGAGACGCTGGACATAAAAATCCGAATCCAACCAAGTACCTAGGAATATCGTCTTAAGCCATCTAATGCGTAAAATGATTTTAGAGCTAGCCATAAAATTCGCGGGGTAAAGTCAGTCAGACTCCGAGAATAAAATCAATATACAACATGGATAAAAACAAAACGTTAACTAACCAATATTTATTTTGACAGGCTGTCGTTTTTGGTTTGATCTGAAATTGCAAAGTTTTAAAGCCACGCACACATGACAAACATTTCGGTACCAAATCGTGTACGGTGGGCAGAGCAGGTAAAGTATTATCTATATTGTCCATAAAGTGTAACGACCCTTAACAAAACGGCATTAATATGGCAATTTTTTTCAGTGCTGGCAAGTTGAATGCCCTTTTTGAGCAATTTATCACCAAATAGAATGCAGGGAAAATACCACGATGAGGCGAAGATCTTCGCACAGCTGGTGTTTTGCTCGGAAGAAGAACGGTCCGAATGTTCTTTCTTGTTCGGAACTTAAACCGGTTTATGTCTATGGCTTATATTTATATTCATGAAATTGTCGCTAGTCCAGTTCTGGTTTGTCCGGATTTCTTCTCTTATAGATACCACTTTCATAAAGACTACAAACCTATTATCAATAAATATATCATAAATATTCTGTTTTCGAATTTGCCGTAGGAACAAAGACAGAATTCACAAAATACATAATTTACATTTAATGCCTTTGTACATAATTTTCCTATTACTCTGTACTATGTCTTCCTTTTTGTGTGTACATAAATAAATAAATAAATAAGTAAATAAAAAAAATAAAATAATAAACTGCGAACCAGATTTGGAATTTGGTAAATTTAAAAGAACATAGGTACCTTTCATCTTGGGAATTTCGACGAAGTTTAAATCACGGGTTACCGGTTTTTTGAAAAGTATCAATTGCAGTAGAATTAAGTCGACTTGTTCTCTAATAATACTATCGATTCTATTGTTTAAAGGGGAATCGAATTAATCTTTGACCACAGGAAGTGATAATATAGTAGAAGCACCTTAATTGCGAAGATAAGGTTAAACAAGACACATTGTGATAGCCGGTTAATAAATAGTTCCTTTTGTCATTCTATTGCGAGAGCTACACGATACATACCTGTACCACACTTGGAATCGTAAGTGGGTTTCCGATTCTTCCGTTGCCTTCAATTCCGAACGCAGGAGGTATAAAATGACGAGACGTTGAATGTAAACTCATGTTTCCGAAATTATCATAAATTATTTATATAAAAATTAAAAGATTCGCAAAAAATAAAAATTAAATAAAATTACAAAACAAAAAAAAGGATGTCCAAAGGATCTGTAAATTACGATATTAAATGACATAGAAAAACATTGTATTACTGATTCGTTCTGTCAGTTTCAGAAAATATATTATTCGGTCAGTATCTTATGTAAATATAATTTACTCTTTGGTCAAGATTTTAAAAATATTTAATCTTTTAAAAATATTTAAATTATTTATAATCAGCACGTGTTTTTCTGAAATACTTTCCGAGCACTTACGAGACTTCTAGGTTGTAGCAATTACTTTGCAATCAAACGTCCAATATTTATAGGCTAATAATTGGCGGTAATACTGGTTTCACAGCCCTCAGAGTAGTCGCTTCCTGCCCCAGAGTCATGACTCTGTCTGAACAATCCATAAGGACAGCGTGGCTTACCTTGAGCAAGTTCAGTGACACCTGAGGCTCGATGGATGCGCGAAATTGCGTTTTAATCGGTTCAAACCCAACGCAAGTACGGCGATTTCCTTCCCGACCAAAACAACTAATACCTCTGACCATTCCGCCTACTAATGCCGCTGAGTCGTGTTTCACTTTGAAAGGCGAGATAGTCGTTATAAAACATAATTGAAGACATAAGTGGATGAAGGCGCTATGATGCAATTTGTTAATTTTGAGAAAACTGGTGGTAGGTACCACTTTACTGGTGGTAGGACCTCTTGTGAGTCCGCACGGGTAGGTGCCACCGCCCCGCTTATTTCTGCCGTGAAGCAGTAATGCGCTTCGGTTTGAAGGGTGGGGCAGCCGTTGTGACTATACTTAGACCTTAGAACTTATATCTCAAGGTGGGTGGCGCATTTACGTTGAAGATGTCTATGGGCTCCAGTAACCACTTAACACCAGGTAGGCTGTGAGCTCGTCCACCCATCTAAGCAATAAAAAAAAAAAACTGGCAACAAATTTTTTGTTGCTTGTACTATTTCATCGTACATAACTCCTTCATCACATGCAATTTCTAAAAATAGCTTTTAAGACCGGAGTTTTAAGGTCTAATATGATTTATAGGCACATAACACCTTCATTTAATGTAAAAACTAAAAAATCTTAAAAATGGTACTTCACCTCTTCATCCACTCATGTCTTCAACTGAAACTGCGGCGTCATTTATTAATTTGAGTGGCGGTATTCACGTGGCAATGTCATCAGGTGGGCTGTGCGTTCGTTCAGACATTTCGAGGCAATTGAAAAAAAACCCCTCCTTTCGAACATCACATGTGATTTATCAACAATTTAGTCTTGTTCGTGTCTAAGGGGTTTACTATGCGTTGTCTATGGACGCTTTTTGATCTTAAGTCTTTTGGAATAACAGTAAAATTCTGACTACTGATTTTGAGGTTACCAGTTACAAAATGATTTTTTTTTTATTGCCTAGATATGTGGACGAGCTCACAGCCCACCTGGTGTTAAGTGGTTACTGGAACCCATAGACATCTGCAACGTAAATGCGCCACCCACCTTGAGGTATAAGTTCTAAGGTCTCAGTATAGTTACAACGGCTGCCCCACCCTTCAAACCGAAACGCATTACTGCTTCACGGCAGAAATAGGTGGGGTGGTGGTACCTACCCGTGCGGACTCACAAGAGGTCCTACCACCAGTAATTACGCAAATACTTACGTACTTAAAAATATGTAAAAGACGTAAATGCCATTTTGTAACACGAGGTCCAAGTAAGTTTACATTACGACGGCTCTTTACAAAAGACCGACAATAATTTCATAAATAAAATGTTACGAAAGCGAGAAAAAAAAGACAACGTTTTCAATTGTAAAATTTAATACCAGGAATTTGTCCACAAAATAACATTAAAACTCACAAACAATTCAAGTCAATTTGGTCTAAGAGATTTAACAAATATTAACTTTATCGTTGGACAAAATTATAAAAAAAAAACATGGTTACGTTGGTACGACACATCACAAAGTAAACCAACGATAAGAATTAAGACTAATAATTATTAAAAAAAAAAATATTAACGTTCACTATAATCTAATTTCTGTATAAAATTCAATATTATATTTCTTACACACACAAAGAACTAAAGATTCAAATAATGCGTTTTTTTATACCGTGGTATAATTTTTACTTATTTACACATCAGTTTTGTATTTTATAAATAACGTTATTTACGATATTCAACATACCGCTTGTGAAATAATGGAAAAACATAACACTATCCAAGGAGTTATAGTTGGAAAGAAAAAGAATGCATACTGAAATACTTTTATACGCGATACATGTTTTTTTTAAACAACTTTGATATAAATTCAATTAAAGATCAAGTTATTCGTCTCTATTCGTTATTTACATTTCATATTTATAGTAATAAATAGTACAATAAAAACAATGTACATAATGAAAAAAAATCTCGTTAACATGTTTCGAATAAATTCAGTCTTGGGTCGTTTTTATTCGTTTTCTGATCTAAATAATCGACTAACATAAATCGATACACTAAACTCTAAGCACTATGTCCATAGATAAACAAAATCGTAATGATTGTCGGATAAATCCTTATTAATAATGGTATATACTTTTTTTCGCGGACTTGACTAAGCTTATTTTTACAATCATCCCCCATCTTATTCATGTTTCAGTAAAATGGTTATTATTGGAAATATATTCCAAAAATGTAGACAAAAACCGTATTAGTTTTGACAAATCGCAGGTGAGGTCAGACCTTAATATGCTCTTCTTAAAAACAAATAAGGATCCGAAATATTTTTTAAATATGGTGTTACCCATATAATATCATTCCAGTGATTCAATTACTGTATAACATAGTATTGCATTACATCTTATTATACATATTAGTATTTTAAACCACAATTTTAAGTTAAAAATAACAAAAATAGTAACATAACCTATGTACCAAACATAGTTACTCTTCAATAAAATTTGACTTGTCAATCAATACATTGAATGTTGCCAGCTCAAATAAATATTACAAATCCGATTATGTCAATATTTTTTTTACAAATCACACTTAGACTTCAATGAAATAGAATATCGTAGATTAGAAGAGAAATATTAGTTAAGAGACTTAAAAAAATAAGACACAAGTACAGTTTTCACTATGTGATAATGTGTGAAATGAAGTTTTCTACGTATTCAGAGTGGGTTAGCATGACAAGAATCGGATTAGTTCATTGCTTGGCAATTAAAGAAAAATAGTGGTTGCGACTGAACGTAAAATAAAAAAAGAACGAAAACGTGTCAGATTACTATTTTAAGACACTAAAGGTGAAACGTTTTTATATTGACTTCATTTCATTTAATCCGCTTGCATAAAACACATTCCAATAAGAGGCTAAAGTCGGAACGAGCCACTTAAATCAGAACGATCACTTACTTGAAGACGGCTGGCCGCGTTCTTCTGTAACAAAAGAAAAACAAAATATATTATTAACAAATTATAGGAAAAAATTGTATATTTATTCCGTTTTTATTTTTAATTTTTTTTATTGGTTTGATGGGTGGACGAGCTTACAGCCCACCTGGTGTTAAGTGATCACTGGAGCCCATAGACATCTACAACGTAAATGCGCCGCCCACCTTGAGATATAAGTTCTAAGGTCTCAGTATAGTTACAACGGCTGCCCCACCCTTCAAACCGAAACGCATTACTGCTTCACGACAGAAATAGGCAGAGCGGTGGTACCTACCCGTGCGGATTCACAAGAGGTCCTACCACCAGTAAAAATTAGATTTGGACCGTTTCTACAGTGTGCAAGGCTTCGGTAACTGTTTTAACATCAGATATGTTCTGAGATCATCTGACAATTTTATCTATTACAGAAAAAAAACCTCATTTGTTCACCTCAGTTGTTTGTAAGTCGTCGTGGCCTAAAGGATAAGACGTCCGGTGCATTCGTATGTAGCGATGCACCGGTGTTCGAATCCCGCAGGCGGGTACCAATTTTTCTAATGAAATACGTACTCAACAAATGTTCACGATTGACTTCCACGGTGAAGGAATAACATCGTGTAATAAAAACCAAACCCGCAAAATTATAATTTGCGTAATCACTGGTGGTAGGACCTCTTGTGAGTCCGCGCGGGTGGGTGCCGCCGCCCCGCCTATTTCCGCCGTGAAGCAGTAATGCGTTTCGGTTCGAAGGGTGGGGTAGCTGTTGTAACTGTACTGAGACCTTAGAACTTATATCTCGAGGTGGGTGGCGCATTTACGTTGTGGATGTCTATGGGCTCCAGTAACCACTTAACACCAGGAGGGCTGTGAGCTCGTCCATCCATCTAAGCAATAAAAAAAAAAAAAAAAAAAAAAATTTTTAAATATAACTATTAATTTTCATGTCACCTTATTCCGGTTAACTTACAATCTATCTATATACCTATATATAAAAATGAATTGCTGTTCGTTAGTTTCGTTAAAATTCTAGAACGGCTGGATCAATTTGGCTAATTTTGGTCTTGAATTACTTGTGGAAGTCCAGAGAAGGTTTAAAAGGTAAATAAATATAAAAAGCTCGGAATTAAATAAAAATAACAATTTTGTTTATCCTTTGATGTGTCCTCCGTCGGACGAATTACTTTTGTTCGTTCTAAGTTTATTTTATACAAAAGTTTAGGTTTTTTTATTTATCGATTGAGGCACTACGAAGTCTGCCGGGTCAGCTATAGTAAAATATAATAACGAAAACGTATTATGTGTCGCGTATGTAAAGTATGTTAACGTATTTTGGGAAATTACAAACAGCTAATGTGTTTTTTATTTCGCTTGGGCAATTTTATGCATACAAAAATTATTTGCACGCAAATCGTGTGTCAGAAACATTATAGAGGTGCATCGAGAAGGCGCACTGTGTTGCGCAATATTACTACGGTTTTCCCCTTTGAAATCAAACAAGGAAAATGTAATCAGAATTCTTGTCTACGATATTCTTAAGGACGTCCCGCACTTATGCTCTTATGCACTTGATTAAAGCAAACATTTCAGCATCTTATAGCGTGGTTAAGTAGATGAGATAATGGCCCAGTGAGTAATAGGCAAACTACGAGGTGCTACCTACTATATGAGGTTCAGATACCAATAGAGCATTGGAAAAGTACTTTTTCAAAAGCTATGTTCAAAAGGCAATATCACTGCAATAACGGTGACTAATTAACTGTTTGTTTTTATTTATTGATTTGTTTCTTAGATGGATGAACGAGCTCACGGCCCACCTAATGTTAAGTGTTTACTGGAGCATTATTATTATTGCGGGTTAAATTTTTATGACGCGATGTTATTCCTTCATCGTGGAAGACATTCGTGAGAATTTGTTAAGTACGTACATATTTCATTAGAAAAATTGGACGGGATTTAAATACCGGTACAGTCGTATCGCTCGATACGATCGTATTATTTTTAGGCCACGAAGATTTTCTGAAACCGTAGAAGAATCATACAAAATCCCTGGGCACGGCTTCTCGGAATTTTCCGAAGTCAATTGAACTCAAAATACACACTATTTTACTAGGATTATTTTATAACGATTACTTATTTCATTGAGCGTATTCTGATCCTTCAAAGGTAGGTAGCATTAACTCATGTCTGTTGCAAAACTAGTTCCCGACTAAAGGGCAATACAGCTACTTTACAATACAATTGAAATTCATGGTTCACGACAGAGTAATATAAATTTGACTTAAAGGACTAAAAGACTAAAAACATTAATAACAAAAAAACATTAAAGGTCAGATTTTCTAAGCATCTATACTTACTGTATTTCCTAAGGGCTTCCTCTCGTTCGTGAGCATCGAAGTACCACAGTGTTATTGCGTATCTGTAACGAATGATGATTACAATATAATCGGATACTTAGTATTAAGTGTGATAAAGCACTTGTTTTGCACATTCCTTTGTGCGACAGAATTCCGACATAGTACGCGTTGTTTACTGATAATGATTTACTAGTCATTAAGCTACTGATGATTGTCCTTAGGAATACATTCAGTTTTAAACATATCGGTATTATATTCGTCGTCTTATCTATAGTTTTGTGGTTGGCTTAAGGATATACAGTATGCTTAGTGAGAGTTTTTTAACGTTCTCGATAGCGTAAGAGTTAATTCAAATTTGTATGCAGTTGGAACAGCGCCCCTAGCGGCAAACGTAGGTAAACGTTTCAAATCTATACAAATTAACCTTTTACGCTATCGAGTACGTTAAAAAACTCGCACTAAGCACACAGATAAGTAAGCTTTAACGGAGGCTTTCATTTGCGTTAATACATAGAAAAAATACCTCCCTACGAAATAATACTTTTACTGTGAATGTGAATCGCTATCTGAGCACTTCCGAAGGAAGACTTGCACCCTAAGGAGATGACGTCACGGGCAAAGTATCAGCTCGAACTCTTCGACGAGCACAATGCCCTGCGCTGTGGCTGGTGCCAACGTTGTAGTCATGTTGATCGGTAGAGTAGTTAAGATGCGAAAGCGTGTCAAGCAAATTCACTTTCGCTTTTATAATATTCAGTGTGGATTTCATGCACAGAATGTCATATGATACAGAAATATACTTTGAAAAGTATTTTAAGTTTAAGAAAAGTAGTTTGATGTAGATGCAAATCTAAAGTGGATTAAAGATGTATGATAATCTATACTAATATAAAAATCTATAGTGGTTTTGACGGATGTTCCGTTATAACTACTGAACCGTGCATCCGATTGACTTGAAACTTGGTATCCATGTAGAAAATACATGTACTTAATGGATAGGCTAATATTTATATGAGTGTTGGACTCCCTACACCAGTTGCGGGGGCGTTAATGATGAGAATCTTTGTGGGGGTGAGAAATAATAATGTTAATTTTAAATGCCCAGCGAAGCGGACGGGTACAGCTAGTAGTTCCTATATTTGTTGTTTCTTTTCATCCTAAAAATCCTACGTCGAGAATCTATTGGAATGAAATATTTCACATGTCTAGTAATACCTGGTGCTGTAGGCGGGTTGGACTTCGTGTGGGTTTCGGCGATCCGACCAGAAGAAAAGCATCCGGTCGAATATCGGTGCTATATCGGCCACTTGATTGGTACCTTCCGGGAACACCCTGGAACCAATTATTAGTAATGCAATTTAGCTAAGCTACAAAAAAATTTAATATTTTCGATGCTGTCGATTTCTTTTTAGCTCTATGTTTTTGCTACGATGTTTTAAAAAATCCTGTTAATATCTTCTTTTTTTCTTATTACCCTCTGTTGGAGTGTAGGGTTCGAATCAAATTCTTCCATTTGCATCGGTTTTGGGCAGTCTGTTCTAGCTCCTCCCACGTCATTCCCAAGACGACCAGCTCCTCCACCGAGCGACGTCAAGTTGTTCTGGGACGGCCTCTCTTCCTTTTGTCAGACACTGTATATGTCAGTGCTCTCTTGGATTGGTGGATAGCAGGCTTTCTTAATGTTTAACAAATCCAATGCCGCGATCAATTTTTTTTTTATTGCCTAGATGTGTGGACGAGCTCACAGCCCACCTGGTGTTAAGTGGTTACTGGAACTCATAGACATCTACAACGTAAATGCGCCACACACCTTGAGATATAAGTTCTAAGGTCTCAGTATAGTTACAACGGCTGCCACACCCTTCAAACCGAAACGCATTATTGCTTCACGGTAGAAATAGGCGGGGCGGTGGTACCTACCCGTGCGGACTCACAAGAGGTCCTACCACATTATAATTGCGTTTGGAATAAAATTATTAAAGCAAGTACATATATTTATTTACCTGAGTAGTCCACCGTATCGTTTCACGTCCCAGTCCAGGTTTAGATAATATATGGCGGTGATGCACCTGCCATCTTTGTTGGGGTTGTCTACGTGCTTCACGTAATGGCTGCCAAGTCCTGGGTAGCACGCTACCATGGCCTGTAGCGAATTATTTTAATTAATTAATTACATGTTGTTTGATTACCACAGCACTAACTAACGAATAACATAATATGTTGTTTAAAACCTTTAAAAAAACACGCATAAATACGGTTAAAAACCAAATCAACAATGATTAATCTCATCTTTTTTTGAACATGTTGATACTGGCCCGAACATCAGAGCGAAGTTAAAATTTTTGTACTTCCATTGGTCCTTGATGCGTGTGCAAATTTCCTATTTAGTTTTGAAGTCGGTAAAAATGACGTTAAAAAATTCCGTTACATACAAACAAACACACATACCAATCTATTAAAAGTGAGTTAAAAAGGGATATTTATCTATTTTATTTATAGCCGACCTTTGATTTGGACTGTTTCCCATTTTTAATTTTCTATAGAGATATTTTTAACGCGATTCTAATATTTTTCCCTGGTCAACAGACAACGATAAAGTCGTTTTTTTTCCTAGCTGATAGCCTTGTGAGGCTATTTCAGCGTAAACTTAACTAGTAGGCGAGCTCACGGGGCTCAAACCGGAGTGATGCTAACACTGGCCCTAGCAAGAGCAGTGCTTCGCAGAATCTACCACCGGATCGGAAACGCGACCCACTGAGAAGATCCGGCGAGAAACTCAGTGGGCTGTGTCTGTGGGTTAATTCGATCCGTAAAATAATAGTGTCCTTAGATATTTTTTCCCTACCTATTCGTTGGTACTTTAAGGGGCTATTCTACCCACGGACGGGTGTCGATATATATAATAAGGCAAAGACAGAATAATTAAGTACCAATTTCTCCTGTGTTTTTCAAAAGTTGACTACGTGTTGCGTAATCATACACATAGCTCATCGTTTATTTGGCCCCAAATGACGTCACGCGTAATGAAGTACATAATTCAGTTTTGTTCTGTAGCGGTACTCTATTCTCGATCCTGCTCATAATAACAACGATACTAAAACTCATCGCAGTTAATGCACGAGATATCATCACCGTTGCCAACGAATTGTAAATTATCACTTCCTACGTTTGATGCTTTCGCAGCCGCTGTTTGTTATTTAGCAAGCCGGTCACGTTATTCATACGTTCGTACGAAGCGTAAATGTGGCGATAATCGTGGAGCGTTAGGAGCTACGTGGGTGGCCGATTACGTATGGCGCTCCCGTTCCTATTATAATTGAGGTTTTGAGAGGTGACATTTCCAACATACATAGTAGTAGTATTTTATTTTTCCACATGGACAGGCAAAGGTGTCATATCATACAGCCTAATCTTTTATATATAATTATGTGAAAAATGATAATATGAAATGAAATGGAGTTGATTACTATGAGATGATATGGGATGAAATATAATCTTAGTAAATGGTGGTCATTTACTGAGATTTTTCCAGTTGACTTTTTGGAGGATCCCTAGAAATGACGTCCCTGCGGCTTTGTTTCATTTCCCACATTCGTGCACTTCCACAGATATTAAACAGTTCATAAACCACCGTTATTACACATTTAAACATGAAGAAACATTAAATAGACAAATTAAAACATATCTCACAGCTTCACTCCTCGCGTTCCCGCCAAAAAGTCCTCAATATACGTAATTCATTCTGTAGGCACGGACACAAGCCTTAGTATATTGTTGTACGGGTTAACGAACCTCCTTACTTTAACCACGGACTTCAATTCCGAAGTTGGTATTTTTGTGAAACAAGACGTGCGATGTTTGAGCGTTACTTCTCTCACATTCGCCATATGTGACAAAAGACAAAGACCTGGCTTGGAACCATTAAACGTTGAATATTCTATTTGGATATTTGACCATAGATGATCAAAGAATTCTCCGAAAGCAGAAGCTGTTGCAACCGCGACAGTTGTGAGGCTAAATAAATAATTAAAATAGGATTAAGATTGTTTCATTTTCATTTTTAATGGAATTTTGTGATTGTGAGGACACTTATCTTCTTTTGTGAGCATGGTTACAAATAGTCGGAAGATATTCAATTGTTTTCGTTCAAGTGAAAGTTGTTGTTACACTTATGGTACTTATCGTTATTGAGAGAAAAACACCTTAATAACTGTTATAAGCTATAGCCGTATTAAAAATTTTGCCGACAAGATTTGTTATACACAAATATATGACCTCAGGGCATGGAGCGCGTGACACCGCCTCAGACATACAGTCGAATTTTAAATGGCGCATTAGTATAACGGTGCTCCCATGAATTCTTAATCCGAAATGCTTCGCGGCAGAAATAAGTACGGTACACCTACCGGTGAAGGCTCACAGTACGTCCTACCATCAATAAATCTGGCGGTAGCCATCATAGAACGCAAGATATTTGAGAGATGCCTGAATCACGCTTACGACATTTTCAAGACAAGCTTGCATATATACAAGTTACGAACAACAGTATTACATCACCTGCTCGGTGGAAGATCTTCCTATCGTTGTATACCTACAGTAAATGCTATGCTAAAGAGTATCGTTGTTTAATTTGAAACAGTTTGGCCCGTATGAGACAGAATGTCTCTCTGTTTCGTCTACAACACCCTCGCGTCACTTAAGTCGCATATTATACAAACGCGACAGGCAGTCTGTAGAGGCAGTTCATTCACTCATCCTTTACTCCACTACTAGTACGTCTGCACCCCGGTGTGAGGACTGGCGTACGTGCCGTGTCTATTTCTAATAAGAGCACAATGAAGATGTGTCTGTCTCTTTAAACGATATTTCATAACACAACACGCTTACAGCTGCTATTGATGTAACGAACAGATGTTTTGTTTATAAACTTTATATGAACGGTATCGAAAAGAAAGCTTTGATAATGTTCAGAGTCTCAAATTAGTTTACACAGATTTAGGATAATGTTATAAAAGAATAGACATAAACAAAAATTTGTGAGATAATAGAGTATTGTGAGTAGATACCGACCGACGCCGCGACGGCCTATCCATTTCTGCGTTGAACTTTTTATTATATTGCCTCTTTAAGTCGTGAGTCTTTTTTTTTCTTCTACCTTTTCTGATAGCCTTGAGAGGATATTTCAGCTTCGCCCTAACGTGTAGGTGAGTGAGCTCACGGAAATTGAGAATGTTGCTAACATTGTCCCTAGCAAGAGCAGTGTTTCGCCAAATCTACCACCGGATCGGAAACGCGACCCACTGAGAACATCCGGCGAGAAACTCAGTGGGCTGTGTCTATGGGTTCATTTACTAGTCGAGCCCTTCGTCGCAAGCGACGGCTTCGGCCAGGACGGTGACCAGTGCTTGAGGTACCTAAAAGCACCGTTAATGAATCGGGAGAAGTCGTGTGCCAAGGCGTACGGCGGCTCTGTAATGACAGGCCGTATTTTACATTATCTACTCTCGTACAGAAAAAGCTAAGGATATATTGGTATTAGGAATTATTTATAATATTCTCTTCAACGCGAGAGCACGCCTCCGAAATTTTCAAACATACATACAAGTGCAATAGGCAATATGCAAAGGGCCGAACTCAATGTTTATTATCAATATTATAATTTCGAATTGTCCCATAATATAAAAATCGGATGAACTTTACTTCGTTGGTTACTGTAGTGACGTCATCGCATATCAAATTGATAACCATACACATGAGTCATCGTACGTTGTGATTGGTTTGGCTAATGAATTATAGTTTTAATAAGGATCTTCTAAGCATTATTTTCTAGATTGTTACAGATTAATTATTACACGTTAATCGCAGTTTGTGATTTACCTCTAATAAAATCAGGGCATTGATTCGTTTGATGCCACTGCTCATTCTCCACAAAACCTAAGTGGACTATTGTTTGAACGTTAACCTCTATTCATGATTGTCGTTATCACAATACAGACGTCCATTGCTGGACGAAGTCCTTCCGCAAGGTTCGCCATAATGATTAGACGACCTATTAATAGAATAATATTATTCCATATTTGTAAACCTTTGCACGGCAGTGAATGACTGCTGTCTTGCTTTTTTTTTGTTCGTATTTGCGAATCGTACATACAATTAAAATGCTTTTACGGTTTAATCTCGCGTTTTTTTTTGTTTCCATTTTTGTACTGTATTTTGATAATTGTCTTTTGATACGCCATTGCTCTGTAAAAGATTAAGCTCTGTCGTTATGTATGCTTTATATGATTTAACTATTTGCGGAAACACGTAACTGACTATTTATTATTACCGATTTTATTCTTATACTGTTTTTTTTTATAAATGCGTCAAATACTATTATTATTATTATTATTCTACTATGTTTGTGTAAAATCTTATTAATTATAAAATAATTTTTAAACAAATAATAAAAGTACATTTTTAAAAAACACTATTTATAAATGGATTGTCGCTGATGGCAGTGTCTACAACACAAGCCACCGGTGGTTAGGACTTCAGAGTTTTTATTATTAGTAGGTATTACTGAGACGCCAGAAATATGTACATTCTTATCGAATCTAATATAAGTGCTGCGTGAGCTCGTAAATCGTTTTCTGATAATGTAATTGCATTTGTTTTTAAGTACGTGACTGATAAGTCGTTTTGCAAATCGGCACGGGCATCGCACACAATATAGATTACGAAGATAACGCCTCCTATTCACAATACACTTATTTACTACAGACAGAAATATGTTAAATAATATTTACTATTCCAATTATTTGAGAAAGTTTTACGTAAAAAGCACTCAGAAATGAAATCGTTTATTATAGACTCATTTAAATAAAAGCTATGAATCGTTGCATAACTTACATATTACGTAATACCACAAACTTGACATTTACGTTGTAGATGTCTATGGGCTCCAGTAACCACTTAACCCCAGGTGGGCTGGGAGCTCGTCCACCCATCTAAGCAAAAAAAAAACGATTAAAAAAACATAAATAAATATATACAGAAAATTTGACGGTAGTTGACATTCAAACCTTGACGAATAACAAGTTAGTCTTCAGTGATAACGAAAACATCTATAAGTCGCCGTGGCCTAAAAGATAGAACGCCTGG